TTTAGAGAATAAAGTGTTGCGTCAATTTGACGTGTCAAGAAAAGCTGATCAGCTTAGCTTACAGCAGGCTTTGTTAAACGATCAACAATGACCGTATATGGCTACTTTGGAACAATGGCGGAAACAACAAAGCGGGATTTTTCAAAATTTCCGATTATCATACGTGCGACAGATTTAAACCATTGGCCAAACTGACGATAAGATAAATCCTCCCCGTGGGGGTGATTCTGGTAGATTTTTTAGGATGCAAATATTCATGGTGGGGTGGATGGTGGGGCGACTGTAGCTTTCGTATCTGAAGTAAAGAGATGTCTCTCTGTTTTTTTCCTTTATAATGCTTAAAACTGGCGAAAGATATATTTAATTAGAGGCTCACTGTGCGATATAAAGTTAATGAGAGCATGTGTAACCTGTTATTAACGTCCGAAGCCTACCGCGCTGTTGAATCATGTAGAAGACTATCGTCATTTGCTCGATTGTTTAATGTGCGTGAATTTAAATTTCGTGCTGCGTGAACAAGATTTTGTTCCTGATGTGCACAGAAAGGTTCATAATCTCCTTCCTCTTGCGTGTAACACCGTCCAGCTGATAAGTTTCTTTATTCTCCAAAAACTGTTGGCTGTAGAATATATTGATACTGTAGGGTGAAATTGCACGTTAAACAATTTTTGGTGTCATAGTCTGGGAGTGAAAGAGTAAAATCAGATAATCGATGAATGAACCGGAAAATCAGATTCCTAAATCTGAAATATTTTTTTAAAAAAAAACATGACGATGTCACGTTTTTTTATTTAAATTACGGGGAACTTAGAAAGCGACGTAGTTCTGTTTTAGGTTTTCTAAACGATTCTTAGTTTCACCGATGAAGCTGTTACCTTTTTTCACTCTTGTCAGATTGTCATTCATCTCTGTTTGCAAGGAAAGCGTTATTTCAGTTTTTAACTGTCGGCTTCCTCAGTCATTCGATCAGAGTACGAAACAAGATAAAACTCTTTGTGCAAGAGTAAGCAGTAAAAATAAAGAAAATATTTGATTACAGTCCCATCTCTCTCTCTCTTTTTTTTATTTAAAAAATGCTTTCGGTGCCCGCTCAAATCAGGCGCAACAGAAATTGAATTCAAGGACAGCGGTTTTTGATGTGGAAAGAAAAGCGCTTCAACGTTTTTTCAGCAACGCTATGGGAGAAATTGAAAGTCATATGGATATTTCTCACACCAAGAGATTATTAACTGCAGTTTATAGTTTCTTGCCTTAGACCGATCAAACTTAGCACTTTGTTCTCACACGATCTTCATGCATTTACCTCTGTTTCTCGTCACTTTTGGTCTCATCACCCAAACAAAGCGTATTTATTTTGAAAGGGTTACCAGCTAAAAAAATTAATTTAGTAATAGTTATTCTTTTCCCGCTTCGAAAAGATATATTTCCGGTTCAGTAAATGTAGCAAATTCAGTGATAGGAAAGAGTTGTAATTCCAAATAATCTAATAGTATTTGTGGAGAGCTTACAAATTGGAATAAATTTTTGATTTGGA